ATTATTATCCGCAGTTACTTGATAACTATAAATTGTAGTTACTAAGATAACTTGAGCGTGCCAGACATTATACCTTAATCCCCCAACGGAACGTGGAGGTTCCACCTCAACTCAAGCTTTCCGCATCCAGCTTGAGAACAGCAAATGACTATTCATCTTACGCCCATCATTCTATTTACTGCAACACTAGGTTAACTTTGAATGACGATTCTATTTCATTATTATTATCTGCTGAGTCGTACAGCCCAATTCCGAACGAAAGTTTTGCCATTTTCTTTCATTTTTCAGTCTGTATCGTCATTCTCTTTCATTACATCTCTTAAGTTAACCGGCTTACTTGGTTCGTTCTCTTTGGCGAGAGGCGATAGTCTCTTCGGTATAATAGAAATGAAAAACCGACAGATTAACTATCTTTTGTTTACGATTATTCAAAGGCACTTACTTGAACCAAGTAGCTCGAATTCTACGAAGAAAATTTTTACTGTGCCCACACTTACTGTTATTTTGGAGACCCCCACTAACCCGGTAAAGGTACCCTTTGTTACCGGAGAATGCAACCACGAGGACTCATCTTCACATTGCCAGGATGTTCAAAATGCATATCGTTTTGAGTTATTTCAGTAGAACAGACTGACAAAAGAAAAAAAAAATGCTCCTGCTCTGTGAATGATGTGGTTGTACTTCTGGAGTTAGCTAGCTTACGCTACTAGCCATGTTCGGACTTTGTTATGGCTTGATTACTTTACTTTTTACTTTGTCTCCCAATTTATTCGTGTTGCAGGGTAGCTGAGCTTTGGTCCTCCATGTCAAGCTCCTACCGTAATCTTTATTTTATTATCTTGCCTCGTGATGAATAGACATTTTTTTTTTGAATTTGGAGTGACTACTTTAACATTCTAGAACCGACTGATCTTCGGTCATCTGTCTAAGATAAACGAACAGTCTCCAAAAAAGGAACAATTCTAAACTCTAAAACTACTAACAGCTTGATCGCACTGAACCGCACGTCACAAGGAATACATTCTTGCCCACTCTTTCTCATTGTTAATGCTCTTCAAGGAAGACTACTGTAACGAAAAAAAAAAGAAAACGACTAAAGATCGACTCGTTATGCTTCCCCAGGCACCCTTTTTGCAAAAATTTTAATTTAATCCTTTTGGGAACATTCTACGGTAGTCCTCTTTCATCAAAATGACGAAAACGGAGCAAATTCGAAAAGAGAGGAAAGAAAAAAAAAGAGAAAGGAAGAGTTATTTCAGCTTTAGCGAATGAGAGATAGAATACGGTAGCAGGCGGGTCTAGAACCGCCCAGAGCCTGATCAAGCTCTGCCATCACTACCAATCGTGCTGCAGCCCAGAGCAGCAGTTATTCTTAAATCTTCAGCTACTTAAAGCAACCACCCACCCAACCCATTTGTGTACTATCATCCTTCCTTATCAGCCCATAACATTCGCATCCTTCTCTAGCAAACGTCAGAATCCCTCACATCGCTCACCACTCCCAGTTCTTCCGAACAAGGGAGTCGGCTGAACGAAAACCCGCTGATAGAGAACCCAAAAAGAGTTCCAAGATATCGGATCTGACCGATAGCGACAAGCCTGAAAAAAGGCAATTAAGAGAACGAAAAGAACAACAACCTACAGTTGGAACTACTGCAAACGACACCATCGAATATCAAAGCTCTTCGGAGGAAGACGACCCGACGTACAACCCGGACGAGGACATCGATACTCCCCGTGCTAATCCACAGGTACGTACTTTGAAAGATTCTAAAAAGAGTGCTCGTGAAAAATCAGTTCCGAAGACTAAAAAGTCTCCAATCGTAGAAGCTTTTAATAGAATAAAACAATCTTTCACAACTTCCGCACTCTCGCCTAAAGAAAAAGAAGATAAACTTCGCGAGTACGTGCAGTCTGAACTCAACAAGTCTATTGAACGAGCTCAACAAGCTGCGAAAAATAAATCTACACCTTTCCCTTCTACAAGAAGTGCAGATAATTTAGAAACAACTTCAAACGAAGCTGATCTAACTTTTGCACCTCAGAACTTTTCAACTCCATCTTATTTTCAAACACTTTCTGCTGATCTCTCTGATCATCAAAACCCTTCTGACAATACATCTCCTAATACTTTTGGTTCTATAACTATTCCAACCGCACCCATACATTTACAAAATTCCCCTAATCTAAACCAAAACCAAAACCTTGAGAAGTCCAAATCATTTTCGCCTGAAAAAGTCGGAAGCGTAGAAGGAAACGAAGCGACATCAAATCTAAATATAAACAGAAAAATAGAGATAACAAGTGAGCCAGCAAGAAGTAATATGACAGAGAGTGTAACACTGCCAGGGGCAGGTAAAAAGGCCATTTCTTCGGCATTAAATTCACCTTTTTGCCCCGTCTATGACGGCACGAAAGCGTTCAGCGAATTCGTGGCTAAATTCAATACATTCACCAATGCTCTTGGGTTTGCTAACCCTGAACGTATCATGCTACTCCCTCTTCTCATTAAGAACGAAGGAGGAGAAAACGCTTATGATGCCATTCCGGACAGCGTAAAACACGCTGGTCCCTGGGATAAGCTCATTACTATGATGAGCGATAATATCAACCCAGATTACACGAAAGACACAGCACTGATCCAAATGCGTAATATAACCCAAGGCGATTTGTCAGTCGATGCTTTCGCGAAAAAACTCAGAACTGCAGGCATAGCAGCCTGTACTTCGAGGAACGATCCTCAAACGGATCAACTCCTCAGAGTTACGTTCATGGAAGGGTTGAATGCAAGAATAAAGCAAAGTGTGATAGAAGCCCGTCCAAAAACTCTGAGAGAAGCTATAGAGCATGCGAGATGGATTGAATCCGTGAAAAAGGACAATCCAGACTCAGCTCTCCTGGTCAATGCTGTCCATGACGCTTTACGTCCCTTCACAGATAGAAGTGAGAGACATGAGAGGAGCAGAGACACAGAGTATCCCAGACGAAATTGGAACAATCGGGGATATAATAATAACTTCAGTAGAAGCAATAACTTCAACAGAAGTTGGTCTCGACCCAGAAGTCATTCAAAACCTCGAAGTCAGAGACCAGGGTATAATGGTGGTTATAAAAATAACAATAACCGGCATGTTCAATTCGCAGATAGTCCAAATCGGACTCGCGGAGCGTACAATGCCCAGAACAACAGAGGTAGAAGCTTCGGTAACAGAGGAACAGGTATGAGACGAGTCAATACACTCTCTCTTGTTTCTCCATTATTTCTATCTGTTGTATTAACCATAATAAGTTGTCTTTCCTCACCTCAGGCTAGTGCATACCAAATATGCACCAAAGCTAAAGGAGGAGTGCTTTTGATGCCTCCTCCATTGAGGAAATGCTCTCAAAGTCAACCAGAGCATGTTATCAAGACACTTATACATTTGTACACTCGAAACGCATCGGCGCATGAATGGGATGCGTGGCGATGCACAAAAGAGGTGCATGAGTTGTGTATTCGAGATCTAATGTTTCTGAGAGACTCGAATCACACTATCAAAAGTCTTGAGCCAATAGAAGCTCAAGAATGTCGTAATATAGTAAGAGACCGAAAATTCAGTGATCAAACTTTAAATTCCGTTGGTCACAACACGTTCGCCACCGACGAACCTGTGCATGATCCAAGCAGGTCATTTTCCTTCTCAGAATGCGTACAACGGCCGCGTATCATTCTTGAGAGAGGTCACATGACCAGGATGCCAGACGACTCTATCCTGTCTGATTTGATTCTCAATACCGAAGGATGTCTTGCACATCATGGTGACTGTAAGTCTGAGACATCAGTGGTAATCTGGGTACCACAAGACTACGATAGAAGGTGTGATTACATCGACCTAAATGAGTACGATGCAATCATAGGAGATAACACAGTGGTTATCCCTAGTACACAGTCTGCTTTGGTTATAACAACCGAAGAAATCCCTAAGGCTATAAAATCATGTTTTTCCGGTCCAGTGTTCCATACGACAACAGGTAACTATCTTACGTTACCCAAGTTTCCCAACAACGAAAACATCCATGAACTCATCAAACAGGAGTTCTCAAAGATACCTAGCAAACGCACAAAACGCGATGCGTCAAAGCCTATGCGACCATGCACGTTTAGCTTCAATAAGGTATGGATGGAACAGTTCGAAGACTACGGGAAGGGTCCACTGTACGTGTGCCCATACCCCTTTCTCAGACCAGTTCTAAGCACGCCCGGCGTAGCTCAACTCTGGGATGAAATTAAAAGAAGGAAGCTAATCGATAGTTCTTATAAGTTAACGGATTATGCCAAACAAAGAACTGTGGAATTCAAATTCATAATGCAGCAAGTTGTCAAGATTAATGAGATCGAAGAAATTCTTCAAATGTATGAGTACGCAGATGTAGAAGAAGCCTTCATTCAATACTATACGTACAAAGAGCTCATAGAAGCTACGAAGAAAGCAATCTCGTACCTAAGTAATGATCAGTTGGTCATTATGATATCTCAGCGTCTCACGTTTGAGGAATTTGATATCCTGCTCGCACAGCAGCCTGGAGAAACGTATCGTCAGAGAGCTGAAGGAGTAGCATTTAGATTAGCTACAACGCGTCATCCAGTCACCGCAACTCAGTCAGTCCCGTCGATTGATGAAGTCCTTCAAGCCTTCATCTTAGCCAAACCTGCCAAGGAAAATTCTAAGAATCCAAGCGTTCTTCGTACCACATCACGTCAATTCCTAGAATTAGAAGAGGAATTGAGATTAGTATTAGCAAAGAAGTCTTCACCAGAAGACATTAAAAGTGATAAGTGGTTCACCAAACATCCAGATCCAAAGGGTTATGTTCCTATTGACTTCGAGAAGTTGCAACACTACTTCTCTGGAAATTATGGAATGAGATACCATTATGATCTGAAAATGATGGTTCCAAGTAATGAAGATCAAAGACGTCTATTCTACTTTTTCTTGCCTATTTTGAAAGAGAAAGGACTAGAAACGAGTGATCTTACCTTCAAACAGCGAGGTTTTGAAGGAACTGCAGAACGTTCAACTAAGGTGCAGCTTTCTACCATCACACCTGGTCCAACGTTGTCTCTGAGAGCACCAGTAACTAAGCCTGCTCCTACTACGACAACGACTACCCCGCAACCAACAACCACTAGGAGAACGACTACAACGACTACAACGACTACGACGACTACGACCACTCCAAGGACGACGACGACAACTATGAGACCCACGTGGATTCCGTGGTCATCAACAACTAAGTTCATTCCGAAAACAACTCTTCATTCATCTCCGAGACCAACGACCACTACTATACGAAGTATGCCCGCAACCAATCCAGTTAAGCCGATGACGACTAGCCAGACGAAAATCGATAGTGCAACTCAAAAAAAGTGACATTAACAAGAGTGTCAAAATGCAATTGTCTAGCGAAGAAGGACAAAGACCAAATTCGAACGCTGACATGTCTAGTAGACTGGCAATTTATGTTCCAGACGAGGAAAGGGAAATGCATAACTTTAGCACTAAAAATGCGCTTTCGATGGAAGAAAAAGATCTTAAAGCTAAAACAAACTATTTTTCAAAAGAATTTAATAATGAGCAAAAGCAGATGCATAATATAACAAGAAATATCGGACAAGATCACTTGCAATACGCAGTTCACGTATTCCAAGAGGATCTTCAAAAGCATTTTGCTATATCTTTTGAAACGGTTTGCGAGATTCAAAATAAGTACTTAGAGTTATGGAGATCCATTTTAGTAATCGAACCAACAGTTGCCATGAGAACTCTTCTCGCTAGAGAAGATATTGCAGCTAGGTTCGTGGGTGAACAGGTAGTACATATTCATGCTTGTACAGCAATTGAGGCTAAGACAGTGTATCATAACCATACAGTGAATAATACCTGTTACCTAGAAACACCAATCTTAACTCTTGAAAACATTCTGTTGTTTGCATCACCAGGTTCTCCTGATTTATTACCATCAGGAAAGGAGATATCATGTGATCATGTGCCAACAGATGTTTGGCAAGAGAATGGTGCTTGGAAAGGTATAAACGGTTCGGTAGAGGTGAATCCTATGTCAATAATAGAAGGATTCCATCAGTCCAAAGTGACTCCATTAAAATTCACTGGAATCAACCTCTATACAAACCTTACTTCTCGTTCCTCATCTATGACTGCAGCAATCGCATATGGTGTAAGCTTAGCAAGCATACGACAAAATCACGCTCTGCACGTGATTCATAACGACCCAATTGTATCTTCTATGGTTAAAACGTTAAAGAAAGGCAGTAATTATATATCAGCAGCTCACAAGTTTGTGAAAGGCTGGTTCAGACGTACACTCGACTTTGTAATTGGAACAATCGAGAAAACGTTGATAACCATTGGAATAATAGCATGCCTATTCCTAGCTATTATTATTGGTATAGTTGTGTATAAATTCCATACTGGTAGTTTGAAAATCCCAGTTATGCATGTAGGTACTGCTGCTATTAATGCAACTCAAACAACAGCACCACCTACATATGAGGAAATGGTTGAAATGATTTCATCAACAGATGAGCCATATCCAGATCATGTGATGAAAGCATACTTCCCTAACCTTGTAACAATCATTCCTTTAGCCATTCCTCTCGTTTGTAGTGTCAAAGACAAACAAGGAGGAACGGATTTACCCCTCATTTACCTAACGATAGGTAGTAAAATGGTTCTATCATTATGGGACTCAGGATCATCAGTCTCATACCTCAGGGAATCAACATTAGCTTATCTCGGTATTATGGAATACGAAGGTAATAAAACTACAGCTATAACAGCTAACGGTTCAACCTTTGAGCTATTGGGAAAAATTAAGCTATCTGTAGTGATAGCAGGTTACGAGATCGAGCATGTCTTCCTTATTTCACAAGATAACGCATGTCCATCTCCAGCTTTGTTAGGTTTAGACTTTATGAGAGCGTTGGATGAACAAAACATTCATTCCACTCTAATGCCTTCAAAGCATGTGTTACAAATTGGTGAAAACTTGGTTAAGCTGATGAAAGCAGCGGAAATTAGGAAGGAATTAAAGAAAAGAAAATCTCTAGTGAATTTGATCAATAATAACGACGTCACTATTCCTCCTTATGAAAACTCTATTATAACTCTACGACCACGATCTCCATTGAGAACTGACAAGTGGCTATACATAGAGCCTAAAGGCAAACTAGAGGATTGCATTCCAACGGTTTGTAGACCAGGAACAGAGATTTCCGTAACTTTCGTTAACAAATCAAATGAGGAAGTCAAGTTAAATGCAAATCAATCCATGGGAAAAGTTAAAGTGGTTGATTTCCCTCATTATGAAACACAGGATTCTTTTCAAACTCACACACCGGTAGAGGCTAATTGGGAAGATAAGCTTCCTACATTTCCAAGGGAATTTATGAAAGAATTAGATCTGAGACAATCAGATTTAAACATTCAACAAAAGATGAAGTTAAAAGATATCATCTTGCGTAATAAAGAAGCGTTCCTTAACGAGGATAGGAACATTGGTTTATTCAAGGGTCCGGTAGAGCATTCCATACCGATCAGGTCGGACATGGATATGCCGAAACCGAGAATTTTTCGCATTCCTTTAGGAAAACAAGAGGAAGTTGAGAGACAAGTGAAAGAGATGCTAGATCAGGGTATAATAGAGAAATCAACATCCTTATTTAATAGCCCTGTTGTGTTAGTGAAGAAAAAAGACGATACCTTTCGGTTCGTCATTGACTTTCGAGCGCTTAACAGCGTCACAATAAAACAAACTTATGTCATCCCAACAATATCAGACATAGTAGATCTAGCCGCAGGTGCGCAATACTTTTCTAATTTTGATCTAGTATCAGGATTTTTCCAAATTCCTTTAAAGAAATCTGATAGACACCTAACTTCCTTTACCACTAACACCGGCACTTATCAATATAGACGCATGCCTATGGGACTCTGCGGAGCACCCCATACTTTCCAAACTGCAGTAAGATTTCTTCAATCTAAATGTCGATGTCGACTCTTTGTCTATCTAGACGATCTTTTGGTTATATCAGAAACACCCGAACAGCATTTGATAGACATTGAGGAGCTTTTGAGCAACATAACTGAATTAGGAATGAAAATTAAACTTAAGAAGTGCACTTTCGCATCACGCGAAGTGAAATTCTTAGGTTTAATAGTAGGGAGAGAAGGACTAAAACCAGATCCTTCCAAAGTAGAATCAATCAGAGAGTACCCAATACCACGTACTGTTACAGCAGTACGAGGATTTTTGGGAATGGTAGGATTCTTTCGAAAGTTCATCAAAGATTTTGCACTTATAGCCAGTCCACTTCATGAGTTAACTAAAAATGATAAAGAATTTATCTGGTTAGAAAAAGAACAAGTAGCCTTTGATACCTTAAAGAATCATCTCATCAAAGCTCCAGTTTTGAAACCACCAAAACCAAACAGAACGTTTGTGATTGAAAGCGATGGCAGCAACATTGCCATCGGCGCAGTTTTATTGCAATCTGAAAATCCTAAAGAGCCCTTAAGCAATCTACATCCTATTGCTTTTGCAAGCAGAAAATTGATCAAAGCCGAGCGAAACTATGCTCCTATTGAAATAGAAGCCCTTGGATTAATTTTCGCACTTCACCAGTTTCGAACTTATGTCTTAGGGACCCACACCATTTGCATAACAGATCATAGACCTTTAACGAGTCTCATGAAAAGAAGAGACCTTTTTGGTAGATTAGCTAAATTCCAGTTGGTAATACAGGAATTTGATATAGACATCAGATACAGAGAAGGTAGGTTGAACCATGTATGTGATGCATTATCACGATACATTGGTGATGAAGCAAATGATCCCAAAACAGAAAAACCTAAAAAGAAAGTTCAAAAAGAGAGTAAGAGCAAACCAGCGAAGATAAATTTTGTACATACCAAAAGTATCAAAGAGATCCAACAATCCACGCCGTGGATAAAGAGAACAATTGCAGAGATAGAATATAGAGCGTCTAAAAATCAGAATGTAAGTGATAGATATTGTGTGATAGAAGGCGTACTCTATACCAAAACAACAACGACTAAACCACACCCTGCAATTATTCTTCCAAAGGGACATGAAGTTACAAAACAGATCATAGAAAACTTTCATGTGGATCCAACCATTTGCGCACACTTAGGTATTCAGAAAACAAAAGATGCTATTTCAAGACGTTTCTATTGGACAAACATGCAAGAGGACATAGCAGAGTATATCCGAAAATGTGTGAAATGTGTCCAACGTAAGAAAAACCCGCATCAAATGACGGTAGAACCATGCGGACAGTTTGAGATACCTTATAAACCGTTTGAGAGAGTTCACATGGACATAATGGGTCCATTTCCAAAATCTGCCAGAGGTAATGCATATGTTCTAACGATACAAGATGCTTTCTCTAAGTTCTCTGTCACAGCAGCGATTCCATCTATTGTAACAGAGATAGTACTAGACCGATTTTTGAGACATTTAGTTTATATATTCGGGCCACCCGCTCGATTGATTACAGATAGAGGCTCGAACTTTATGTCAGCTAAGTTCGCCGCAATGTGTAAGGCTAGAGGTATTACTCATGAGCCCACACTACCTCATCAGAAGAACTCCAATGGTCAAGTGGAAAGATTACACCGGACGTTGGAGGAATGTATGACTCATTACGTGAACGAAGATCTAACAGATTGGGATCTATTCTTGCCCAAAGTAACGTTTGTATTGAACACTCTTCCCAGTTCAACGACAGGTATTTCACCCTATGTTGCTGTATTTGGTCGTGACTGCCGTATGGCAATCGACAACAAACTTTCTCCAGAATGTAAGAGTAACAGTGATGATTTCTCTCGATTAGAAAACAAAATACTCCAGAAATTTATTTTTGATAAACTTAAACAAGCTTCAGTTTCAAATGCTATGAAATATAATCAAAAACACAGAGTATTAGAAAGACAAATCAAACCTAACGATTTAGTCATGTTAGCAGTTAGAAATTTTAAACCAGGTCATAAGCTGAGAAACAGCTACGAAGGACCATTTAAAGTGATGAAAGTTAGAGGAAACCTTGTTCAAATTCTTAACAATGCTAATAAAATTCAAGACGTCCACAAGGACAACTTGAAGATCTATTTCAGAGAGAGCGATACAACGAACAACAACAACACTGTAGAAGAAGTCGTGATCGTGGACGATCACGAACTGGAAAATGGGGAGAAAGAGCAACGTCTGAAACGCATGACTTCAAGGAAATCGATGGCAAAGCCGGAGCCGCCTGCCGTTTACAACAAACCAAGCGCCAGCGAGCAAAAGAAATCAATGAGGAGGCAGCCATCCACACCACAAGTTGAAGATA